TGTTGAATTGTAGCAGTAAGATGTACAATATGGTCAACTTAGCTATCACAAAAGGCTGGGATGATCATAGAATATCAATTTGATGAAGATTAACAGTGGCACTATGGAACTTATTTAAAATCTGAAGATGAAAAGTAAAAACCTTAGATTGTTTCTGAACAAAATGTTCAAGGCGCAAGCATAAGACCAAGGCTATCGAAGCACACTGTTTGAATCTGAAACCCAACCAAAGATCATTTCAGTTATATAAATAAGATACAAAGCACAATACACTGCATATGATAGGAAATCTATAACCTGTGCGTTTGCAGAAACTTCACCAAGATTATCTGCTACTGTAAAACTTCGATGAACAACAGTCTACAAATCCAAAAATGACAACATTTAGACTCCATGTAATAAGGTGAAAGCCAACTTTATGATTATCCAACAAATAAAATTCTGAACATCAGACTGCTCAGAATTAGAATTTATCTAGCGGGTAAATCAGCTAAAAACATTCATATCATATCATTAACAACTAAAAATCCTGGAGGAATGACAGCGAGACAAATCGGTCCACCTAGGGCGCCAGGACCAACCGATAACAAGGCCGATCATGACAGCGAGCCAAATCGGGACTGAGGAGAGTAAAGCGTCAAGGAATGTCTCGGTGAGGCCTGGGCAGTGTAGAAAATAGATCAAATCGAAGAAGCTCTGCTCCATTATCGATCGGTGTCTATACAGATACGTGTATGTACATGAGAGAATCGATAAATATACATATATGTATATGTATATACAAAGTGGAAGAGATAAGAAGATGAGGTGCTAAACCATGGAAGCTTGCATAGATGGTGGTGGCGGTGGAGCTTTGAAATTGAGAGAGAAGAGAAATCAAAAACGCTCTGAGATGAAATCAAAGATGAATCTCTAAGAGAGAGATCTAGAGAGAGAATCGAAATCGGGGTGGCAGTGCAGACCGATCTGAAATGAAATCGCGGTGGCGGTGCAGATCGATCTGAAATCGGTGAATTTGTGAGATTTGAATCGGTGAATCTATGAAATCGGTGAATCGATGAATCTCGCTACCTCGCCGGTGCAGATGGCGGTGGAGGTAGAGCTTCAAAATTGGTGAATCTGTGAGATTTGAATGTGAGATTCAATGTTTAGAGAGGATTGAGAGAGAGGCGACATGAGGATAAGGGTTTAGAGAGGATTGAGAGGTCAAAAGACCTAAGGGTTTACAAAGGCTTTATTATCAGATTCAAAATAGGTGCGTGCGACGTACCGCATTTGAAGGCGTTTTTAAACACCTTTGATCATAAAACGGTGTCGTTTTAATTAAACAAATATGCGACGTTTTTAAAACGTCGTTAAATATTAATAAAAATGACGTTTAAGAAAATGCCGTTAAAAAAACGTTGCCAAAACCCTTATTTCTTGTAGTGTTTACATAGAAAGCTAAACAACCAATTCAATTCTCTCATCTTATTTTCCATATTCTTGTGTTGGTTGTGTTTGGTAAGCCAAAGATGAATAAAATAACGAAAGAGTTGTCAAAATATGGCTGAAATTGATCCAGAAAATGAAATGTGTTAGACTAGATTCATACTAGGTGTGGTGCATGCTATACACTTTATCTTCCGGGTTTCTACTTTTTCTGTTTGATCATAAACAAATTCTGGGTAATGACATTTCCATTTGAATCCCAACAGGCATTAGCATCGGCATATCACTACTACTTATTGGTGGCTCCTCGCTATATTGGGGATCTAAGCAGAGGAAGATCGCCAACCTTAGAGAAAAATTATTTCAGCAAAACGGTGGTATCATGTTACAAGAACTTTCCAATCATGAAGGATTGGTCCAGTCAGCTAAAATCTTTACTGAAGAGGATCTAAAGAAGGCAACAAACAACTTTAATGAAAATAATGTCCTGGGCAAAGGGGGCCAAGGAATAGTCTATAAAGGAGTATTACCAGATAACACCATAGTTGCCTTAAGAAGCCCAGAGTAGCTGATCAGAGTCAGTCCCAGATTGAGCAATTCATTAATGAGGTCATAATTCTCTCTCAAGTCAACCATAGAAATGTTGTGAAGCTCCTAGGGTGTTGTTTGGAGACAAAAGTTCCTTTCCTTGTCTATGAAATTATTACCAATGGGACTCTCTATGACCACATACACACGTGCATGACAAAGAGCATCCTCAATAACATGGGAGAATCGCTTAAGAATAGCAGCGGAAACTTCAACAGCCCTTTCATATTTACACTCTGCCGCTAGTACTCCTATCATTCATAGAGATGTTAAGACCGCCAACATACTCTTAGATGACAATTACGTTGCTAAAGTATTAGATTTTGGCTCTTCAAGGTTGATTGCTATTGATGAAACTCAGTTAAGCACATTGGTACAAGGAACACGTGGTTACTCAGACCCAGAGTACTTGCAAACTGGCCAATTGACCGAAAAAAGTGATGTTTGTAGCTTTGGGGTTGTCCTTGTTGAATTACTAACTGGCAAGAAGGTAATTTCTTTCAGCAGGCCTGAAGCAGAGAGAAATTTATCGATGTATTTTATTCTAGCAATGAAAGAAGACCGCTTGCTTGAAATTGTTGATGAGCAGATGATGAATGACGCAAGGGTTGACAAGTTAAAGCAAGTTGCTATTTTAGCAAAGAGATGCTTAGAAGTGAAAGACGACGAAAGGCCAAGCATGAAGGAAGTAGCAATGGAGCTAGAGGGATTGAGAATGACAGAGAAACATCCATGGGTAAATGACGTCACAGATTCCGAAGAGACCCAACACTTGCTTGGAGATCAACTCTTAGATGCTTATGGCGGTGAAACTAGTATGAGCAATTCAATAGTTTATGATCGCATGACAAACCATGACATTTCACCATTTAATGGTGGACGATAAGGTGTTTCTGGTGGTGGTCTACGTTCATTATATGTTGTTTGTAATGTTTTTATTTTATCTTTTGTCAAATAATCCCTGTGAGTTGTTTTGAACTTTTGATTTTGTGTTGAGGTTCAATTTGTTGTGATTTTAGGCATAGTGGTTGTTTATAATGGTAGTTATCAATGCAAAACCTTTCTTTATATCAAATAAATTATGAAAAATGATAATTTTACTAAGTCAGAACACATCTACACATGTACTAAATATGAAGCACCATACATACCCTTTTTGACTTTTCATTTCCTCGTCACAAACTGATCTTGATTTTATCATCATTTAAAGTCCAACTGATGCAGTGGTGTTAGATAATTAGTGTTTGAATCACTAAAATAGTGTCAAATGGATTGGAATGAAAAGATCATTGTCTTAAGCTGTAATGGAATGACCATTTCACATTCTACTGAACAAACATGATTTGTTTGATGTAATTCTGTCGAACATCCCAAAGCTAAATGAAAAAACAACTAAAATCCCCAAGATACTGATTTGTAATTATGTTTCAATTTTAAACAGTGATAACAATTCCAATCAAACAATAAAAAACAAATCGACACAATGATTTAACGTGAAAAAAACCACAATTAGAACTCCTCCAATTTTGATAAAAAATTTGCAAGCTAAAGTCATATAACTATCCACTAAGAAGACAAAAATAAATTGCACAAGAGTATTCTCAATTACCTAGTGAATCACGCTCAAATTAAACCAAACCCGATGTGTCTCTTCTACCACCGTCTTTACCTCGAAATTGTTTTGTCCAACGTTGAATCCACAATGCTGATGTTAACGATGAGCCATTCCAGAATCTATCAAAGCTTCAGGCTCAAGTTCTGCGGAATCCTCCAAAGAACACTTCTCTTTTGTGAACAAAATAATAAGAACAACTCTTGATGTTTGACAATCTATAGTTTGTTGATCAATCGATTACCTTCCACACACCAAGGAAGCTCATATAAAACAGCCTCCAATAGAAAATGCTTTGTCTTTTCTTTCTCTCTAAGATTTTGGACGGTTTAAACCCTAAAAATAGTGAATGACGCACTTTATGGAAAGCAAGGTTACGAAGACCGCTCAAGTGATCAATCAATCGCTCGAGCGAACTCACTAAAACACTTGCCCATTGCTTAAGCCAAGACTCCACTACTCGAGCGCATAAAGGATTCTCTCAGAAGTTTAGTCTATTCTGCAAAAATATTAGATGATGCCTGAGAGGGTAATTTGTGTGATCAACTTGGGCCGAGCTAGGTAACATCATCTTTGAAAGTTGGGCCGCGCAATGGGCCAAGAAAGAGCTCAGATAGCCTGGTCCTGAGCGAAATGAAGGTTAGGCTGATCAATGGACTTTGAGCTAGCTAGCAGTTGATTGGTTGAGTGAAGGAGGTCGAGCTACTCTTAGCTCGATAGAACGCATTAAAGGTCGGAGATTGCACGATTCAGTCAGTAGTGGGCTGAGGTAAGGTAGCTCAATCAAACATTTATAGCCGAACATAATGTGCTTGTCATCTCACTTGGCTAGCAGTAAGGAGAGTGCTCTAAGGATAAACATTATCCTTGGGCATGTGACTCCTAAGAAGACTCTACTAGAGAGAATTAGATTCCTATTGGGATTGTGCTAGATGGAATCTATAAAAGCTTATGGCATAACCTTTGCACAGGTATTGCAATTCTTATTCTCAAATACACAAAACTTATTGTTTATTGTCTACTTTGCTGACTTAGACATCAGAGGGGTTTCTAGTACACACCCGCCGGCTAGCTCACGTTTGTATTTTCAAGTAGCAAAGCGACAACGTTTGGAGGAACGCAAACTTGGTCAACAGAATTATACAAGACGATTATTCTGTGCTCGTACAATTACTAACCTCTACCACCTTAGATCACCATTTTTCATCTACGAGCATCACCCCCAACTCTTTCACATCCTTCTCACAATCCTTTACTACTATGATTTTTTATAATCCTTTACACCATGTCCATATCACAATGACTACTACAATAATCATATCCAAATCACTATTGCAATGGTGATGAAATAAGCTTATTGTATGAGAGAGAGAGAGAGAGAGAGAGAGAGAGAGAGAGAGATTATCCAACTCTTTTACCTTGTGCATGAGCCAAAACTGTTAGCAAATTAACAATGTCTAAATCTCCATTTCCTGAGGTATCATGGTTTGCAGGGAGTAACATGCTTGAGGACACATCCTCTGTCTGAGTTTTCCTCCTTCGACGGTTGTGTCCAGCGAGTCTACGCCTACAACTTCGCTTTCCCTCATCAAACTCAGTAAGAGGATGAAACCTGAAAAAAAGCAAAATGAAGCATTTAATGCTGGTTCAAATAGGGTAAAGCAAAATAACATGCGTCATTTTAAAGACATAACAATGCAATTTAAACTAGAAGAAGGAACAAAGATTCCAAGAACTCAAACCAACAATCAACTACAATGTGAAAGAACTGTAAATAGAGAAAGGTTGAAGAACTTAGATGGCCAACCTGCTGCACTGTTGGCAGAACCTTTGCATCTCTTTTCCCACTAAGGCTTTACTTGACTTGCTGTGAACCTCACACACTTTATGTCGCCGGTGATAATCTTTAGCATTTGACAGATCTTCCCTGCAGTTATCAACTTGACACATTGGATAGCTGCCACTGCCACTGCCACCACCACCACTGCCGGGAGATCCAGATCGGACTCTCTTGTTGGGCCTTGACACACTCTCCTCAAAAGAATTCAAGCCGGCACCAAGCTTCAACCGAAGGCTTTCATCATCTTCATTGACAGGGTTCTTCTTCAATAACGTGGGAAGCCCACTCCCTTCCCTGTCACTTTTTCTGTGTTGCCCGGGTCGCGACTGGGGCTGGACCGGTGTTGCAGTAGCAAGAGATAATACATCAGATTCCATTGGTTTGGCAATGAAGCTGACACTATCCCAAACCCAGTCCTTGGCGTTCCAGTTGTACCCGGAGGTCAACCCGGGTTGCTGCTGCTGAAAATTAGGGGCATGAAATGGTAGACTACGCTTGGTTGCCATGGGATTTGCCTCACGGAATCGATCCCCCCCAAGAGTTTGATGGATAAAGATCGGAGGGGAGACTTGTGCACCTACCTCTTCCATCTCTCAAAACTACAACTACTCAACCCACAAACCTATATTTTTGGGGAAATAAATACAACTTGTTATCATCATAATTCTAAAATGTTCAATATATCTATCTATCTATCTATCTATCTATCTAGCTAGAGTCTCAAGATTCGCACAAGTAGAGGATTTAAATAAAATAAAATAAAGAAAAACTAAATATAGCTTGTTCTAAATAAATGGTAAGACATGGGATGGGATTGTAACAAAACAACTTTAATAATAATATGGAAAAAATTAATAAATTAGAAATAAATGTTATACATAGTCATAGATACAAACTTTACTATCGTCAAAAAAAAAAAAAAAATTCAAGCTTGAATAAAAGAAGAAGATAAGTCTAGGCATTGTATCTTGGTTTTATAGGGATCATATTTAGGGTTATAATTGCATTATACAATCCCAAAAATGCTTTAAAATGCAGAAAATTAAGAAGAAGATAAGTCTAGGCATTGTATCTTGGTTTTATAGGGATCATATTTAGGGTTATAATTGCATTATACAATCCCAAAAATGCTTTAAAATGCAGAAAATTAAGAAGAAGATAAGTCTAGGCATTGTATCTTGGTTTTATAGGGATCATATTTAGGGTTATAATTGCATTATACAATCCCAAAAATGCTTTAAAATGCAGAAAATTAAGAAGAAGATAAGTCTAGGCATTGTATCTTGGTTTTATAGGGATCATATTTAGGGTTATAATTGCATTATACAATCCCAAAAATGCTTTAAAATGCAGAAAATTAAGAAGAAGATAAGTCTAGGCATTGTATCTTGGTTTTATAGGGATCATATTTAGGGTTATAATTGCATTATACAATACCAAAGAAGGTTCAAAAGTTTTGAAAAATCTCTAAAAACATTCTCTATTAAATTATTATGCTGCATTATAGAATAAAATAATTATTTAGACTTCATATGAAATGATCATTCTATTATAATAGAACGGTGAATAATGTTTTATTTATTTATTTATTTATTTTTAATCAATTCAACATGAGAGAATGATCATTTTATTCACTATATGTCACTGAACCAAATAGTTATTTAAAAATTGCAAGAACAAAATGCTAAAAATTTGTTTGATAAATTATTTTTTTCTTGAAAACAATAACTTTTTAGGAAATATTAAAAGATGATTGCTAAGTCTTAAAAAAATATTTTTAGACAAATTTTAATGATCTTTGTATAGATAGTCATAATAATGTAAATCTATATATTTATTTGTTCTAGGATTTAGTTATATTTATCAAACACCGGTTGGCAATGGTTTTAAGTCTGATTTTATTATGTTTTTTGTCAAACATTTAATTTTTTTTTTAAAAAAAAAAAAATTTAAACTAACGATTTGAAAAATCAAAAATTGCATATTCATTAAAAAAAAACCCACTAAAAGTCAGTTTAATTGTAAACAATAGTTTTTAGTCCTCAGAAACATTTCCAAATGAACATTTTTTAAAAAAAAAAAATTTGTCTAAAAATTGTGGATTCTATGCTTGATTTTGGACTTTTTAAAAATAATTTTAAGTTTTCAATCAATATTCTTTTATTTTTGTGAATTTTTATAATATTTTAATTAATATTTAAAATACATTAAAAAAAGTATAAAATTTGTAAATTTTTACTAAATACAAAAAAAAAAATTTAGTATATATATATAATTTTTGTATTTGTTAATTTCTTTTTAAATTTCTTCAAAAATATATTTTAATTTTTTAGTATATTTAGATTAAGTGCATATACAAAAAATAAATTTTTTGTCTAAAATATGAATTTTTTTTTTAATTAAAGACAACAAAATATGAAAAACTCAAAATTCAAAAACTCAAAATCAAACAGAGCAACTTGGAAGGGTTTTATCTTTCATAAAAAATAAGAGGGTAATTTACACTGTTGTCTTTATAATTTTTTCAAAATTTTACTTTAGTTTCCATAATTTAAATTTTAACAATTTAAATCTAATATTTTTATTTTTATTCAAATATGATCCCTCCGTCATTTGTTGCTATTTCGAATAGAAACCAACATGTGAATATTATTTGATTTTTAATTTTTGTGGTTAGAGCTACCCTTATCCTGAAAATGAGAAGACTTGAGTTACTCTATTAAGCCCGTCATGTTGTGTCCTGTTGTGTCGTGTTGTGTTAAACTAAAAAGTTTGTTAGTAGTAATTGTTGTCGGAGTTTAACCGATCATAAAAGGTATTTACATGCTAGTAAAATAAGTTTCAAATTCGAGCCAATAAAATAGTTGTTGCATGTTATACTAATCTAAAATTACTATTCTACTAAATGATTTATACTTCTGTGATTTATATTACAACATTTATATTACAACATTAAGTAAAAAATGAGGAGTGTTGGAGTTGCTCCATTGCTACTCTTCATTTTTCACTAGCTGAAGTATGAAAATGATATACTCTTTATTTTACCTAACTAAATTTTTGTTTATGTGCTCCAACGGTACTCTTTGTTTTATATATTTATCTACACAAACTTATTTAAAGAGCCTCACAATGCTTTTCAAATGTAGTTAGCCTACAAGAATCTTGTTAAAATAGATATTGTACTAGCTAGTCTATTGGAGTGAGTAAAATAACATTAAATTGGTAATAACAGCTAATAAACTTCTTTTAAAGAGCTCATTGGAGATGCTCCACCCTTAATCAATTTACACGCCTTGTGATTTTGATAACATATTATTTTTTCAACATTTGTTGGTGATTTTAAGGTTGCATCTGAATTATAAATCTAAAAAAAAATTTAAATTTAAAAAATACATATTTGTATATATATACATGAATTAAAAGTTAACTTTTTTATCATTTTTTTTTTGAGTAATCTACAAGTATTTAATAAGATATTTGATTAAAAAAAAAAATACCGCTCCAATGTATATTTGAGAAAATATTTAGATATTAATGATAAATTTTGTTAAGGATTTCCATAAAATTGATGTTTATTTTTTTATATCTATGGCTTACTTGTTATTTCTCCTAAAAAGAGAAAAGAAAAAAATAATTAATATAAGGATATAAAAAATAAAATTAAATCAAATGAATCTGGATGTGACAATCACGTGGGTGGTGTTTTAGGAAGCTGATAAAAAAATTATTTATTTAATTATTTATTTATTTATTTATTTATTTATTTTTTACTTTTGGGTAGATTTTTTGTGTAAAAAAATTGGCTTGTTTTGTATTTTTTTGTAAATTTTTTACATAAAAAAGGTAAAAAGTCAAAAACTTTTTTTAGTAAGTTCCCAAAACGCCCCATTATATATGCAAGGCGTGACAATGTTGTTATGTATTTTTTTTAGTTATATAATTTTGTGTTTTTTATTATACATTGTTAACCTGTTAAGTAGATCAACTTACAGATAAATCATAATAAAATAAAAAATTATATAATATACACGTAAATATTCTTATAAAAATACATAACTAATATATGCCTGTGTTTGGCAAGTGGGTGTGCAGGTTTTTTTTGGCTATTTTAGCCACAAAAAATAAAATAGGCTATTTTAGCCATAACAAACAAAACATCACATCCAACCCATAATCATTACATTATTTTCTCACAAAAAAACTCAAAAAAGTCAAAAAGCCAAAAAGTCCTTCCCAAACCAAGCTTTTAAGCCCAGGCTAAAATAGCCAAAAAAGTCAAAAAGCCAAAAAGCCAACCCACTTCCCAAACCAAGCCATAAATTCGAATAAATTATCTTATAAAAGTTTTGGAAAAACGGTTTTGTTTGGAAGAGCTTTGGAATTGTGATTCTAGTTCTTAGTTTGCATATAGTGTTTGGTTGTGGCTTTCAAAAATTATTTTCACTCACTTTTGAAAACTCAATCGAAGGCGGAAAAATTTGGACTATCTGATTGACTAGAATAGTGCAAATTTTTTTTTTTTTTGGCAATTGACATATGTTAAATTTTATATAATCAACAAAAAATATTTTTTTAATTTTTTAAAATTTTTTATGAGCTTTAATAGAATTTTGAGTAGTGTGTTTAGTTATGAGTTATAAGTGTTTTTTTTTTATCAAATATCATATGTCACATCAAAAATTTCCTACTCAATTCAAAATTCTTTTCAAAACTCATTCACCAAACAAATTTTCCACACTCAAATTATAATTCTAAAACTCATAAACTTAAAATATAATTATATTATCAAATTATATTTAAAAAATTCTACCAAACACAACCTTAAATTTTGAATTTATCGATGGAAGTGATCTTTTTAAATGGTACACTTTTAACAAATCAAACTTCCTAAAATGTTGAAAAAATATCCAATTGGATTCCAAAGTCAAGAAGACTTTGACTCTGTTTTTGGGTGAATAAGTAGGCTTTGACTGCACACATCAATAATGTGGTTTTCTTTTCTATCAAATGAATCAGCCTCTTGCAGCTTTTGGAATTTCAATTAATATTTTTTAATTTTTAATAATTTTTTTAATATTTTAATTATTATTATTTTAAAGTAAATTCGCTAATCAATAGACTTAAAAAATATAAAATTTGTGATTTTTTTTTTAAAATTTACTAAATACAAAAAGAAAAATTTACAAAAAACTAGTATATATCTATTATTTTTGTATTTGTTGATTTTTTTTAGATTTCTTCAAAAAATATTTCAATTTTTTAGCACATTTAGATTACGTGCATATACAAAAAATAAAATTTTGACCTAAAATATGAAAATTTCTTATTAAAGACAACAAAATATGAAAAACTAAAAATTCAAAAACTGAAAGTCAAACAGAGCAACTTGAAGGTTTTTTTCTTTCATAAAAAATAAGAAGGTAATTTACACTATTGTCTTTATAATTTTTTCAAAATTTTACTTTAGTTTCCGTACTTTTAATTTTAATAATTTAAATGTAGCACTTGTATTCTTTAAACTATTGCAGAGTGTATTTAATTCTTTATTTTCATTTTGGGAGTCTTTGGAGTTGTTATATCTTAATTTTGGGAGAGTACAATTTGATTTGGACTTGTTAGAGTTGTTCGTTCACGCTTGATTTCG